CCGTTGTATGCGCGAAACCACCAAGGCATGCAGACTGTCATCTTTCCAGCAGGTCAGCTGCAAAACGTGTCCCGATCATGCTCACATTTCCACGGCCTGCATCGGCTGACACTCAGTGCGATGAGGGCCCGCAGCAGCGCGGGGTGCGCGTGGGGCTTAGGGAGCCCGACGCCCGTGTGCCAGGCGCGTCCCTCCAGTGCGCCGCCGTGTTCTGTCGTGGCGGAGGGCCTCGCGAGAAACGTGCATCCCGCCGTTCCTGCTCTGCAGATGCTCTTCCCTGGAGCGGAACCGCCTGGCGGGAGTACCTCCCTGCGGAGGGGTGGGGGCTGTTCCCACGGACAGCAGGTCCCAGCGGACAGCCTGGCAGGGGAGCCGGGGGGAGGGGAATCCAGCGGCCCAAGCGCCCAACGCCCCTGGTGCCTTTTCCTCCCCCGTCCTGGGGCCGGAAGAGTGTGGGCACTGCCCCGCCGAGCTGCGCCGCTGGGAGGCGTGCCGATGCTCACGGTGTTTGGCCACGTAAATAGGATGTCCCGTGGGGGCCAGGGCGTCCGTCGCAGAGACTGACAGCGGAAAATAGGGAGAAGTGGAAATTTTCGAATGTATCTGCTAGAAAGGAATTGATGGCGACGCTTGTCGAAGGGCTTCCTGGTGATCCCGGCACAGCCGTTTCTGGGTGGAGTGGAGGGCACTGGGGTTTCCAAGACTCCTCGGAATTAGGGCGCCTCACCGACTTTTTTCTTCTTAAAGCATCTCAGTGCTGGATCTCAGACTTTCTTCCCATGTAATTTTATTTTATTTTTTTAATATTTTTATTTCTAGGAGACAGAGAGACAGCGTGAGCAGGGGAGGGTCAGAGAGAGAGGGAGTCACAGACTGAAACAGGCTCCAGGCTCTGAGCTGGCAGTCAGCACAGAGCCCGACGCGGGGCTCGAACCCACGAACCGCGAGATCATGACCTAAGCGAAAGTCGGACGCTTAACCGACTAAGCCACCCAGGCGCCCCTCTTCCCATGTAATTTTAATACCTTGGAAGTTTTACCTTTTCTTAACCTTGAGGACAGCTGCCCCCACCCCCATCCTTCTCAGCCTGAAGAGGGCCTGGCCGGCACTGAAGGCCGTGTTTGCAGGTGCCGCTGTGTTCCGTGCCCTCTCACTGCCTGCTGTCGTGGGGGAGCTCCGGGTCCCAGACGGTGAACTACGTGGGTCCGCGGCTCCAGGGCTCCTGTGGATGCTGGGATGCCCTGGTGGCTCTTTCCTGTAGAGTCCAAGCCCTGGGGACCCCGAGAGGGTAGGAGAGCCCTTTACGCTTTGGGATTCTGTACATTGTAGCTGTCATTCGTGGGAAAAAATCATGACTGTTCCGAAGCAAAGTACAAGGGCAGACAGGTGCGTGCCTCCTCGAAGCCCTTAGGGGCAGCCGGCTCAGGCAGGCACCTTGCAGGGCGGGTGTGAGTGGCTGCCCGTCAGAGGTCATCCTGTGCAGTGGACGCACCGCAGCCAGCGGCCCGTGGAGCGCCCGGGCATCAGGGTGAGGCCAGGACCTGGGTCCGTGGCTCCATGGGGCCGTTTCCTGGACCCCTCCTTCCCCCCGCCCACCTCAGCCAAGCAGTGACACACAGGCCTGCTTCCCAGGGGTGGGCTTTTTTAATTGAGGGGAAAAGGAAAGAGGTGCTAATGGCACTAGAATCAAGTGCCTTAAAAATGGGCATAAACACGAAAACAGGGCTGCGCGGTGAAACCCAGGTCAGTTGTAAAGGTGGAAGGGGAGCACCGAAGACGGTCCAGATGGTGGGTGTTCTGTTCCGTATGTCTTCCCACAATAAAAAAGTTAGAATAAAGGGTAATTTTTCTTACCAGGTGTCCTTTCTGCATGTCTTCATTCAGGGGTAGCTTGTGTGTGTGTGTGTGTGTGCGCGTGTGCGCGCGTGTGTGTGCGTGTGTGTGTGTAAGGTGTTGCTTCAGGGGCCTCAGACTGAAGTCCCCCCCAACTTCTGGTGGGTCCCCAAGTGAGATGCACGTGAGTGCCTGTGTGTGTGTGTGTATGTATGTGTGTGTGCACGCACTGTGAGCAGGGAGTGCAGACGTGGGGCACGTGTCCTGGACACAGGAACCTAATTAACGCTGCAGTTTTAAAACGTTTTCTGTGCAGGTGCACATGTGCATGTGTGTTTTGCACGCACCCATTCACATGTGTACGTGTTTTTGTACACACATTCAAGTGGCAGCCGTGTGCATGTGTTTCCGCGTACACACACCTGTTCATGTATGCATGTGTGCGTGTATATTTTCGCACACGTGTGCCTGTTCACATGTGCACAAGGATGGTGCTTCGGGACGGGCCCTGTGGCCAGAAGGCCCAGCTGCTACCCCCTCTGCAGGCAGCAGATGGGCAGTACCTCGCAGAGCCTGTTTCTCAGCTGCAGACACTACCCTCAGCCTCGTGGTCAAGGTCACAGATAGAGGTTTACGGGAGCCACATCGGCCCCAAACTCAGAACGCACCGCCCTCTGTTCAGCCTCACCCAGTGCTGGGCACGGGGCTGCCCCCGAGGGAGGTGGGGCACGCGGAGCAGCAGCGGGGGGCGTGCGGGCGCCCTCTGTGCCCAGCGGGTGTGGCCTGTGGGGGGTCCACCCTGCAGGTGAAACGTCTTGTGAATAGTCGGAAATGGGACTCAAGGACGCAGGAGCAGAGACCCTTGGAGCAGCCCCCTCCCCCCCCCGTCTGCTTTGGGCTGGTGGGGGAGCTGCAGGTTGCAGAGGCACAGGCGGCCTGGGTGCTTCTCCCTGTGACCGGGCTTCCCCAGGCCTGGACCCCAGGAACGGCCCTAAGGAAGGGAGTCCAGGGCGTGGTGGCCACAGCTCCTGGCCTGAGGCATCACCTGGCCGCCCCCCGTCCCCTCCTTTGACCTCAGATGGTCGGCGTCCCCATTCCCAGTTGCTGTCCCCCCCCCCCCCCCCCCCCCCAGAGTTGGGAGGCCGTCGGGAAGGAGCGCCTTCCTCCATGACCCGTTTCCCGTGACAGCAGCTTGGCCCCCACGGTGGCTCTGGTGACCTGTGTGACGCCACGTGCTTCTCGTTTCTCAGTGTCTGGCTCAGAAGTGGACGGTCTTTTGTGGTGTTTTCTAGTCCCTTCTGGGAGCATAAAATTTGCGGACTTTGACAGATGTGCTTGGAGACGCCCACGGATGTGCAGTGTCTGGTTACACCCGCCCCCGTTTCCACCTAGGCAGTCGACTGATGGTCTCCGGCCTGTGTTTTCACACGTCCGTGTTCCTTTCACAAAAGGAACCAGGGCCCCCAGCCTTGGCGTTTCTCCCTTTGAAAATTTAAAAGCGACTCTGACCTTCTGAGCATCAGTCTGAACTGAACAAAGGCCGCCGCGTTGTTGTGCGTTTAGCCTGATTCGCGGGGCTGCTCAGCGTCCTCCTGAGGGAGGGACGTACACACCGCAGCGGACGTGCCCGACTCGGCTTCGTGTTCGCGTTTCGGAGCCGCCAGGGAGCTGAACGCTTACCCCACTCTGTCTTACCCCCCCGCCCGGTCTGCACCTCACTGCATACTGGTCCCATTTTTCTGTGGACGTCGCCCTTTCAAACGGCTTAAGAGTGGCTCCCCACCTCCTAATTGAAAACGAACATTTGTTACTGTTCGCCTCCAGAGCTGTGTGGAAATGCCTTCCGTGAAGGGCGCATTTCTGCTTCCGTGAAGATCCCTTTGGACTTCAGTTTATTTTTTTTAATGCCAAGTCGATGGGATTCCTGACTCTTCACTCCAAAAAATATACTTAAAAAAATTTAAAGAGCTTGTTTTCGTAAATAGATCCCTATGTTCCACCGGAACGTTCAGGTCTCTGAAACTCTTTCTTCGAGACCAGCAGCATCTGACCCTTGTTACGACAGAGCGCCTGACACCTTAGCCCCCCTCGACTGCGGCGGGTGCCGGGGCGTAAAGTGCGTTGGGGTACGTCCATGACGGGCATTTGTGCTCTGTACGCGGGGAGGTTTTAGCACATCCAGACACATTTGTGCACCTTCCAGACGTTGACTTCCGCATTTAAATACGCCCAAAGTCACCCTCGCGAATGTAAAATGGAATTTTTCTCGAGTCGTGTTGAGTAGCCTTGGGTTGTGGCCTAGTCTGACTCGGCAGGAGCGTTGGCTCCTGAAGGTCGCGGAGCCCGGCTCCCGGCTGGTGGTGGTTCCCGGCATCCAGCCCAGCTGTGACGGGCGTCCAGACCCCGGGTGGTCTCGGTCTCTCTCTCTCTCTCTCCTCTCTCTCTCGCCTGGGCATGGCAGGTGGGAGCTGCGGCGGCAGAGGCTGCGGCCCCGTCCCAGGCGCCGCCTCCTCTTGGACATCCGTCCCGGAAAGGTGGGCAGGGCGGCCTCGCTCACCCTTCCTTCTCACGCCTCTGAAGGGAAACTTCCGGTGTCGAGGTTTTGGACTAGAACATTGGACCTTATGAGAGAGCGTCCCAGGGACCCTTTCTGGAGGAGCCCGAAGTCCACCTGTAGCCTAGATGTTTCTGAAGCAGCCACAGGATCCCTTGGGCACAGGGAGCAGTCTGTGTGATGTCAGCCTGTCTGGGTCTTCTCGCCTGAGCCCACAGGACCCCTATACCTGCCTGCACCCAGAAGTCATGGGAAGCTTTGTGATATTGTAGAGCAGTTATTTCTTGCTTTATGATATAACTAGTTGTCCTTTGTTAACTAGTAAGTGTGTAGTTACAGCTAACTAGGTTTTATTTCTGCATACAGTCTATCGAGTCACGTGGTCAGTTGAAGAGAGGAACCCCACCCCGAATACCATCCTTTTGCCCTTACATCTGGTCCGCGCTTCACGGCGTTGCGGGGGGGCAGCCAGGCTCCGGCATCATGCGGTCTTGCCGAGGACCAGCGTGCCCGGCGCACGAGGGCCACGGTGCCTTTGCGCGTGCCGCTCTGTGTCCTCTCGTTCTGTTCTGATGAGAGATGGTAACGTCACGTTTTACGTTTTGATCTCCAGGGGGAAAGCCTCACCGCTGCTGCTTTTCCGAAGAGGCGGCTTCGACCGTGCTCTCCAACGGAGATCAGAGTCACGCCCCCGGGAACAAGGCGTCCGAGTCCCACGCCGGTGAGCCCAGAGTGGGGAGCACAGCGGCTGTGTCCGCACTCGAGAGCAGGAGCAGAGATGCGTGCAAGAGAGCAGAGCAGCCGAGGTTTTCCGTGGACTTGAAGATGCCAGCGTTTCACCCAAAGCAGGAGGTCCCCGCCCCCAGGGACACCACAGACTTCCCCTCGCTTTCGGATCAGACCTTTCCAGAAGGAGATGTGCAGCTCCCGTCTGAGAGCCCGGCTCACCACCTGAAAGAGAAGCCGTCTGACTTGCATCCTAAGGAGCACCCCGGGGGTGGACGGAGGGTGCCGGCCGCGGACCTGACCCCGCTGGACCTCAGCCACAGGTCGACGCGGGCCGGCCCCGGCCGTAGGGAGCTGGCCTCTTCTCTGCAGGCCGCGCTGGCCGTGCACCTGTGTCCGTACTGCAGCCACAGGACCTACTACCCCGAGGTCCTCTGGATGCACAAGCGCATCTGGCACAAGGTCAGCTGCAACTCCGTGGCCCCCCAGTGGATTCCGCCCAATGGCTACAGAAGCATCAGGAACAACTTGGTTTTCCTGGCCCGGAGTGGGCGCACGGGGCCCCCGCCGGCCCTTGGGGGCAAGGAGTGCCAGCCCCTGCCCATCGCTCGGTTCACGCGCACTCAGGTACCTGGAGGGGCGCCGGGGCCCAGAGGCAGCTCCTCACCCCTGGGCGTGACCGCGAAAGCCGCTCACGTGCCGAAGAGCAAGGAGGGCCCCACTGGGGGCCCCTGTGCGCTCTGGGTGGCTGGCCCCGAGGGGCCCCGGCAGGCCAGGCCTGGCCACCATGGCCCCGAGCAGCACGGCGCCCCCACGCAGCCGCCCCCGCCCAGGCCCAGGCAGGAGGCCGGCCCGAGGCCGGGGCCAGTGTCTGGCAGCGGCAGTGGCTTCAGCCGAAGCACCACCCCCACGTCCTCCGTCATCGCCCGGGCAGGCGCCCAGCCCCCCGCCGGCAGCAGGCCAGGGGACAAGTGCGGCTTCTCTCCTGCGGGGGCTGGTCTTGGCCCCCCGAATAAGCACAGTACCCCGGACCCCCCGAAAGCCAAATTCAGTCCTCAGCCTCAGGGCCAGCTGCACGCGAAAGGCGACGGGGCCCCCGCTCTACCTCCCCGCGAGCCCCCCTCCAAGGCTGGCCAGGAGCTGCGGCCGCCGGCCAGCTGTGGAGCGGGCCCCAGGGGGACCGCGGCCTCGCCGGGCCAGCCCCCGCTGCACACCGGCAAGCAGGAGCCCGCGTCCGATGGCCATGAGAAGCGCCTGGACATCCTCAGTATCTTTAAGACGTACATTCCAAAGGACTTCGCTTCTCTCTACCAGAGCTGGGGTGCCAGCGGCCCTGCCCTGGAGCACAGAGGTAAGACGGGGCCCTCCCCGCCACCCCTGTGAGCGCAGAGGAGACACTGGGCCCTCCCCGCCGCCCCTGTGAGCACAGAAGGAAGGTGGGCCCCTCCCTTCCACCCCTGTGAGTGCAGAGGTGAGACTGGGCCCTCCCCGCAGCCCCTGTGAGCGCAGAGGTGACACTGGGCCCTCCCCACCGCCCCTGTGAGCACAGAAGGAAGGTGGGCCCCTCCCTTCCACCCCTGTGAGTGCAGAGGTGAGACTGGGCCCTCCCCGCAGCCCCTGTGAGCGCAGAGGTGACACTGGGCCCTCCCCACCGCCCCTGTGAGCACAGAAGGAAGGTGGGCCCCTCCCTTCCACCCCTGTGAGTGCAGAGGTGAGACTGGGCCCTCCCCGCCGCCCCTGTGAGCGCAGAGGTGACACTGGGCCCTCCCCACCGCCCCTGTGAGCACAGAAGGAAGGTGGGCCCCTCCCTTCCACCCCTGTGAGTGCAGAGGTGAGACTGGGCCCTCCCCGCCGCCCCTGTGAGCACAGAGGTGACACTAGGCCCTCCCCGCCGCCCCTACGAGCACAGAAGGAAGGTGGGCCCCTCCCTTCCACCCCTGTGAGTGCAGAGGTGAGATTGGGCCCTCCCCGCCACCCCTGTGAGCGCAGAAGGAAGATAGGCCCCTCCCTGCTGCCCCTGTGAGTGGGGTCACCATGCTCCTCGTGGGCCTCACGGAGGGGCCTCCCTTTAGAGGTGGGGATGCTGCCCACCGGCTGTGGAGCGCAGGACAGAGAGGGCGAGGCACATGCATGCTCCCCTCCTGCCCCTCCGCCCCAGCCCTGCCCACTAGGTTACAGGTGCCTGGTGCTGAGGACATTCTTCTCCTGCTGTCCCCTTCAGGGCGCCCTTCTGGTGATGTTGATTTGGGAGTGCTGAGATTGGACAGGAGTGGGCAGCCTCAGTGCCCCTCATGTCCTTTGTCTTTTGATTTTATTTTTATTTTTATTTTTTAAGTAAGCTCTGTCCCCAGCATGAGGCTTGAACTCACGACCCCCGAGATCAAGAGTCACACACTCTACCGCACAGAGCCCGCCAGGCACCCCCTTCTTGTCATTTCAAACAAAGAGTCAGTAGATGTTCATTGTCCCTTTTTTTTCAAAAGACAAGATTGTTTATTTGAAGTGACTATTTTAAGTCTTATTTCTGTACGTACGTAATTAAAATACGTATCCGTTCAGTGGCATTAGTAAGCAAAGCCCTGCAGAGCACGAACTTACCACGTAAAGTTTGAGGGACGGGCTCGAGCTAAAATCGCAGGAAAGAGAAGCCCTCAGCAGCCGTCTTCCTTTCCTGCCAGTGTCTGGGACACGGCATCGTAACGGTAGTCAGGGACAGCTGGGGAACGTGCGACTGGCAGGATGCCCTTATTCTTGATCGCAGACTGCAGGTGGCTCTCCCTGCAGTTAACGGGACACTAGGAAATCTGAGTACTTGCTGTCGCCCCTGTAGCCAGGCATGCAGAGACCCCGCGGAGCTCTGTGTCTCCCTTCATCCCCCATCTTTGAATTGTACATCCTGCACCTGTAATTAAAGTAGGTCAGTGTCCAAAAAGACCTTTGTGATCTGGCCCCTCAAATCCCAGAAGCTGGAAGCACTTTTGGGGGGCATGGTTCAAGGTTTGGTGGGAGCTGGGTCTACAGTGGGGCCCCCGAGTCCACCGTGTGGGATGCCTGCGTGGCCGTGGGTGCCTGGTGGCAAATGTGGGTCTCTCCCTGAGTTCCTGGTTTGCGCCTGGGGTCCGCAGGTGCCCTGGGGCCATCTTGGAATGACGGTGCCTTTGGCTCATGAGGAAAACTCAGGTGGGCCACAGCCTCACAGGTGCTGCTGGGGGAGTCTGTATTGGAGGCTGCACCAGTTCCTGTGTGCACCGAGCCAGCGCCTCTTGTGAACTTTCTAGAATGAAGCTAACGGCCTGGATGCCCAGAGGTGGTTGAGACAGACACACTCCGTGCCCCGGCGCGACAGGGTGCAGTGAGCACCCAGGGGCTGTGTAGGACCCGCATCCCTTCGGGCACAGGTGCTCTGAGCTCAGGGCACAGCTGAGCACGCGCCCTGGTACAGGTGGTGGAACAGAACACACATACCGTATGGCTTAGCCTTTAATTTTTTTTAATGTTTTTTTTATTTTTGAGACAGAGAGAGAAGTATGAGTGGGGAAAGGGCAGAGAGAGAGGGAGACATAGAATGTGAAGCAGGCTCCAGGCTCTGAGCTGTCAGCACAGAGCCCAGCATGGGGCTCGAACCCACGAACCGTGAGATCATGACTTGAGCTAAAGTTGGACACTTAACCTACTAAGCCAACCAGGTGCCCCGTATTTTTATATTTTGGATTTCAGTTATGTGAGCTTTGCATAGTCTCAGCAATGTTTTCCAGTCATGTAGGTGATTTGGTGTGAAATGGAAGGATAATAAATTTTTTTAATGTTTTATTTATTTTTGAGAGAGAGAGAGAAACAGAGCAGGGGAGGGTCAGAGAGAGAGGGAGACACAGAATCCGAAGACAGGCTCCAGGCTCTGAGCTGTCAGCACAGAGCCCAACGCGAGGCTCGAACCCACGAACCATGAGATCATGACCTGAGCCAAAGTCGGACGCTTAACTGACTGAGCCGCTCAGGTGCCCCAAAATGGAAGGATAATCTACTGGTTCGACTTCAGACCTGATGGCAACCCTATGTCTTTAGGTTTGGGTTTTCTTGGGTCCCAGAGCCTGTGGGCTCCAGGTGGCGGGCGAGTCCCAGCAGGGACCTGTGTTCTTGGGTGTGGAGCCCTCACCTGTGCAGCAGCCTCCGGCGCCCTGCCAGGAAGGGAAGGATGTCATGTGACTGTGGTCATAGTCACTTCCCAGAGGGACTCATGCCAGCCCTTCAGGTATGGAATACGCAGCGTGTTCCGGAATCATTCCACGGCGTGGCTGTGGGGACTGGACGCCTCTGTCCCTGTGGTGTGAGTGCTTTGATGGTAGAGTAGGAATAAAATAACGTTACCTGTGTTTTCAGACTTCGGGGCCAGCCTGTAGTATATGATGATACAGAATTTAGGAAAAAACATGAAGACAACAGAATGAGATTGCTCCAGGTAGAATAACACACAGGTAGAATAAGATCTCTCTTACTGGGACTTAAAGACCTTACTTACACTGAGAACACAGGTAGACGTGACGATGGAAGTTCCCTGCGTCCCATGTTTGACTCCTTATAGAATCTCTAGAATCTCTCTTGTCTCCTTGTCTCCTTGCAGGGAGGCTGGTGTGCAGCAGGGCTCTGGAGCAGGGTCTGCCCAGGCCTCTGGAAGGTTCCCCTCTCCCTGTGGCTCTGGTCGACTTTCTCACACGCCAGTAGTTTCTGGGTCAGAGTGTTATACTGTTTGCTCACCAGGAAGTCTTCAATCCAGTAAAGTTTATAACCCTTTCGATCAGCTCAGAACTTTGGAGTCGCGTGGGCATAATATCATTGACCATAAAGGGCAAGGGTCTCTTCTTAAAAAGAGAAAACGATACGGCCATGTGTACGGGAGAACAGCGTGTGTGCGCACGTGCTGACGCATACTTAATTCAAGGAAATCGGGTCGGCTGAGCACAAGTGCTGTGGGTTTTTTTCCTCCTACTTTGGATAGGAAAACGAAGCTGAAAGAATTACCTGCAAGAAAGTACTGTAGTGGCTTAGTGCCTGGCGACGCAGCGGCCGTGTTTACCGCCATTACCCGTCCTGTGTGGGCATCGTTGGAATCCACGCGGACCTGCCATCCCATTACACGTGGGGACTCCACACGACCAGAGTGGTTGTCAGAGAAGTTCTGTAGGACTTGGACTGGGTGGTGCTTCTGATGGGAAGGAGTGGGCAAGGAGTTGCTTTACACGTTGCAGTTTCTCCAGGCCAAACTCCGGGGAAAGCAGTTCCCACAGGGCGTGTGTGGTTGGCTCTTGGCAGAAGGTGAGGTGGGCCCCACCCCGCCGGCTGTGTGTCCTCAGAACTGCGTGAGTGTGGGCATCTGCCCGCTCTTGGGTCCAGGGCGTGCACAGCCATCAGGGATGGCGCCAGTGTTGCTCTGGCCACGCTGTGCTCCCACGTTCACGGTGGCTGGGGCGCCCCGTCCGCCTCGGCCAGTGCTCTTTCCTTGCGGGGGGTGGGGGGGGTGGATGTAGATTAAAAAGTGTCATCTTACTTTGTGTTCCTGAAAGAGGCAGTGGGGGGTTGAGAACCTTGCGGGCAAGCTCTAAATTCCCCGAAGGCCAGTGCTGCTGACCTGCGAGTGAGAGACCTGACGGCGGGTGCCTGTGTGGAAGTCGTGCGCACGCGCGTCGTCCGCAGCTGGGAAGTGATTGTGTCCTGTTTCTCTCCGGACTTGGGCAGCGAGGAGAATTCATTCTCTGCTAATTTGACCGAGACCATCTGCCTCCTTTTCACTTGGCTTTTGCGCTCATGTGTCAGATGTTAGGTACGGAGATGCCTGGCTCAGGGGGCGGCATTTGGCATCGCGTGCTCCTGCAGCCCGGACTTTTTCTTTTTGCCGTTTCCATGTTCTGTGTCGCAGCCGCCGCCGCATTACCATTGAGCCCAGTGGGGAGGGTCGCTGGGGAGAAGCGCAGAGAAGTGGGGAGAAGAGCCGGGGAGAAGCGGGGAGGGGAGCCCGGGAGAAGAGGGGAGGGGAGCCGGGGAGAAGTGTGGAGAGCCGGGCCCCGGGAAGGCCCTTGGGCGCCGCTGCCATCACGCGAGTGCTCAGCCTTTCCGCGGACGCCCCACAGCAGGAAAGGCGCCAGCGCGTGAGGGCCGTCTGCGCCCCGTCTCCCACTGAAGGGAGCCTGGAGCGGGGCTGTAAGCCCGGCGATTCCCGGCTGTCGCGTCGGCCTGGTAAGGGGCCGGCCGCGGTGTCGGCACAGCGTGGACAGGCGGCTGCGCCTGTGGCCTCCCCGTCCCCACGGTGCCAACCCCACCAGCCGAGTGGCCACGGTGGCTCCGAGGCCCCGATCGGGT